AGCAGTTAAATGTATAATTTCATTCTTAATGACGTGTAATATTTACGTCAAACCACCACAGTGTTAGCTACTTTGTTCGGCCGGTACGAACACAAAACGCTTTGCGAGAACTTGAATTTTGTTTTTTAATCCTAGAAATGGACGTATTACCTACTCTTTTATTTATTCCTAAATTATTTTCGAAATGTGATTTGCGCATATCAACAATATTCATACATTTATTTAAAAAGGAATCAAGTGACTTTTTGTCAGATTTCTCCCGTTTACACCATTTCTTACAGTATGACGAAAGAGCATCTTTGATGACATGACGACACTCTTTCCAATTAATTTTCGACGGAATACGATATGTTGGTCCTTTTTTCAGAAAGTTTATATCCTTTCGGTCCTTAAATATGTGGAGGTCCCCTTTAATTACATGTCCATACGGGTCATATCTTAACTTCGATTTTTTAACATTCTCATGTTGAAGGAGCATTATTTTCTATACTGACGTCTAATGTAACTGACGTATAGTTAAGAATTAAACTTCTACTGTTTTTTATGCGAATAAGAAATTATAGGTGGCTCTATATTATCGAAATATGGAAGTACAATGTATAAAGTTCTGAATGGTAGAGATATTTAAAACGCTAGACAGATTAATAAGATCGATACCTCTATTAATGTATTTTATTTTTGGAAAATACCTTTATGATCTTCAGGTTTGTCAACATTAAAAAGATAGACTATAAGTCTCTAATTTCTTTGGTTTGTATCATTCATAGTATAAGAATTTGTTTTGTATCATTTATAGTGTAAGAAATTGATATTTATCATTCATAGTGTAAGAAATTGATATTTATCATTCATATTGTAAGAAATCGATATTGTATCATTCATAGTGTAAGAAATCGATATTGTATCATTCATAGAGTGAGAATTCGATGTTGTATCATTCATAGTGTAAGAAATCGATAATTGTTTCATTCATAGAGTAAGAATTCGATGTTGTATCATTCATAGTGTTAAAACACGCCAGAAGTGATAAATTCATTTTACATTTTAGTCTATGTTTTTTTTATAAAAAATACATATATATAGAATACTAGTACTTAAAAATATACGTATCAACTGTATATTCTCACAAGTTATTTAAATATAAAATATCCAAAAATTTAAGAGTATTATTATTATCGTGTTAATTTTCATGTATTTCAGGATTTTGCAGAAAAGGAAAATTTACCGCACAAAGAAACAAGCACAAAAACCAACGTAACCGAGATGTTCATGTCAGTAATCAAACGACTTACAGAAAATGGCGATGATGATGATGGTGATGATGTACCGGCAAACGACAGCCGCGCCTTGAGAAAAGGATATTCCAGTATAAGTATGCATGTAGGCACAGTGCCTACTACGACAACACAAAACAGTACATGTAGTTGTGTTATAAATTAAAGGGTAAAATAAGGACTGCGTAGACACATTGATGGATGGTTCGGCCCCACAGACAACAGAACCAGAAGCTGATCATCTATTTTAACATACCTCAATAGTTTAATCGCAATATTTTTATTTGTCTTTTTATTAATAATTATTAATTGTTAATAATTTATAAAGATATTATTGTTTTTTTTATGTACACTGTCATTTATGAAGGTAGGAGTGGATTTAATGTAATGGCGAGTGAGAGAATTGGTCATTGTTCTATTAGTCTTATCATTCACTGTTTTATACACGTAAAGCGTCAAAGCTATGTCACAGTGAAATCGACATCATATGTTTGATAGGATATTTGATATCAATTTATTTTTATGATAATAATTTATCTATATGATATTTATTTATTTATATGATATTTATTTATTTATATAACTTAAGGGAGATCAAACTTTATTTATCTTATTCATTAAGCTTTCTAGTAGATTGTAATAATCATTTTAAAAATAAACATAGTCTAATACGGGTGTATCAACAAATTTATGTACTTTTATGTATTCTCGATGATATATTTTTTACTTTTTTTTTTGTTTTGCAAATTTGTTACTTAAAAGCAAGTGAGTAGTTAAACAAAATAAAATAATGATTTCATAATATCTCTTGACATTTTCCTCTCTGATGGTAAACTTTCTTTGTTTGATAGATTGCATATAAGAAACAAGTTAAAATTGTTACGTTTGAGTGCATTACAAATCACCCAAGAGTAGAGTTGACCAAGTTTTGATTCGAAAATATTATAACTAGAAATACCGACACTATGTTCATTAACAGACTTTTTAAAACTAAGTCTTATTCAAATTAAAAACTAACTATTATAGAGACTTAGATTATTTATTTTGTAAGTCATGCCTTGTTAATTAGCCAATGAAATTAAACGATGTATGACTTCTTAACGATCAGCGGCAAATATTAAATATCAAATGCATATTCAGGGATCATAACGATACAATTTTAAATGGTGTGAACATGAGAACTATTTTGAAAGAGACTGACATGCTGAGTAAAATTATTATTGTGCTAGCTAAAAAGTAAACAGTCCGCAGGGAGACATGATTGTGACCTATCCGTACCCAAAACTATCACACCAAGCCGACCGATTTGTGCTGTTTCTCCTTAATACCGAATGTTGGCTGAGAAGCAGCAGATACCAATTTTAGAGTCTGCTTAACCCGATAAGAGATAGAACCAACGACATTCTTCACTCGAAACTTTTATGTGCTTCGACATTAATTTGACAAATGCGAGGTGGTTGGACATTAATTGGACAAATGACTAAAAAAATATAACTTGAAGTGGTGTCATTATGCCGTAAAAAAATATTAAAGGAAAATTTACAATTACAAAAAAAAAAAGAAAAAAGAAACGTGTTGATAGAATTTAAATGTTCGAATACGAAAGCTTTTACAGAGTACCGAATATTGAAAATAAAATGATATAGTTTTCTTACTACAAAAGGGAAAAATTTTTACAGTACAATCTATCATTTAATTAAATTATCTCAGTTATCTCCATATCACAAAGCAAATTATCTAAATCTAGAAAAGAATGCAAAACAAAAAATTAAGGAGATGTTTGATATACATCAATGAGATAGTAAACCAAATTATGACATTAAAACCCCCAAAACATGATTTTATTTCTAATAGTTTAAATAGTCCTAACAGATGTTTTTCTCAGACGTCGTTACACTAAATCCGTTGGAGGTGTTCTGATTTATATTTGGGCTTATGTTTTAGTTGAATTTGAACTTTAATCTTTATTTTAGTATCTGTGAGTACTCTTAGGTCGGTAATTTACGACCTGTGTCTTGTTTGTTGTGTTTTTGCTTAGTGCTTAGTATATCTTATTCTTATGTTGTGCTGTTAAACCAATGTCACAGGTTAGATGTAGGATTGAGCGCTCTAAAACTAGTTGTAACTCCGCCACATTCTGTATGTCTACCCCAATGGCAGATCAGGAGTCTTTATTCCAGTGGTAGTTATAGTTTGCTGTCTGTCATACTTGTTTTCGTTTATAATACATGTAGTTTAAAGCAGAATTTAGGTCCTTGCTCTTTCCTTTGAATTTCTACACATTTTCTAATGCCTGGTCATTTTATAGCAGGTGCTGGACATTTTAGCGTTAAATTCAAAACTACTCGTCGAAATTGTATGCGCCGAAACTATAGACCATGTTAGCGCTTGTTTAATCCATTCAACTGTAATTTCGATAACCCATTTTGTCGAAAGCTTACAGACTTGAACAATACATATGTTTTATTTGTTAAAAATTAAAATAAATTTTATCAAAACATAATTAAAACAAGAAAGTTGCAATATGTATGTGACGGATTTCATTGTCATATTGACAAAGTACAAGAAACAGATCTTACTACACCTACCAAAAGTCGATTATGTTCGATCACTAAAAATGTAGTCGAGTAAAAATTCCAAGCTAGAAGAGATTTGTTTTTTTTGGTATAAAGTTGCAAATATTTGACAGCTGTTTTTGAAGTTGTGATGAAGCACCCACCCCCCCCACCCCCCACTGAAAAAAGGGAGAAAGGAAAAAGATGAAAATGATAATAAAACATAACAAAACAAAAAAAAAACATTCAACGTTTCGAGAACAACAGTATTACCATATCCTTTATCAATGAGTCTAAAAGCCGATAAGAAAAATTTGAATGACAATTCCTATACTTATTAACTTTTAAGTTCATTTTATAATAATGAAGCCGTGAAAATCTGGGTGTGAAATATCCTCGTTTTAAATACCTGCTGGTGGAATCATAATAGATCAAAATAAAGCCAAGTATTATATAAAATTTAGTAAATGATTTGATCATTTTATGATATTTATATCTCTACTGTAAAAATTATTTAGTTCATAGAAATCCAAGACTCACAATAAGCGCCCATTGAACCTCTCGGGAAACGTATCCTTTAGAAGAAGGGGACAACGGAACATCAATATCAAGGAAAAGCAATTTAATAAATTTAGTAAATTTCCACATCAAGGTCTTAAACAGAACATCGGTTACAATTAATGTTAGACTTAGTTGGAGTGTGTAGGATTGCATGAATTTCATTTTTATATCTGGATAAAAATGTGAAAGAATATATCATCCAAATACCCTACAGGTATATTAAATATGAAAATATGTATCAAGTCGTGTTTCTTTTGGTCTTTGTAGAGTTTTGCCATTAACTGTGAATTAAAACAGTAGGAGTAAATATCCCAAAAGAGGCAATCACATCCCCAGTGGAAAATATCCAAAAAGAATGTATAGCAAAAGTTCTGTTGCGTAATAAAGTCTTCTGTTTTTAACCTTGGTACATGTACAAACAACAGCCTGTTACCCTATGAATTACCATAGGCTGCATGTACAAATGCACAGAATGAAATGCAACATTAGAATGTGAAACCTTATACATTTTGTAATATGATCGATTCATGTTTTTTTATCACGCGATACAATCATCAACGATTAATATTAAAGTTAAAAATAAAAAATTCTTTTCATAGACCATATTTTGTATTGCGTTTTGTAAAAATTCAGTTCTGAAATGTTTTCCACTGGAACAGTCATCTTGTTTGCGCTGATCACTGTTATCAATCACGTGGTACAGTCAGACGCTAAAGGAAACTGTTTAAATGGTATGTATTATATGCTGTACTAAATAAAGGAATTGTGGCATCATTGCCAATGAGACAACTAACCACCAGAGACCATAGAACGAGAATGAAACAGCTGTAGGGCAATAAACGGCCTTCAACACAGCATAACCCGTATTATAATAGTATGCTATGAAGGCCCAACATGTGACACATTTCGAGAGAAAAAACTAACGGCCTGATTAATGATAGAAACAATAAACGAAAATCAAAATTACATATAGCAACAAACGACAACCACTGAATTACAGGCTCGTGACAGGGGATAGGTACACAAAGAATGTGGCGGGGTTTTTCATGTTTCTGACCGCACAACCCTTTCTTTATAGTTATACTTAAATGTTTTGAATTTGTTACATAATTAAGATTTTATATAAGATTTTCTCATAAATGTGTTAACGAAGAAGTGTTTGTGATATACTTTTGAGGACTTCTGATATATGGTATGATATACTCTTGAGAACTCCTGACATATGGTATGATATAGCTTAAGCATCGATGCCCATCGTCGTCAGGGCGAATCTTAAACGTTACGCCTACCAAGTAACTTGGAATTTTGACAATGTCCAAATGATAAGTTTTCCCATTGGTAGTGTTTTTGAAGAAGTATTTACTATTGATGAGTGGTATGCTGTTGCTTTTGCATCCTTGACCGTTGTTTTCGTGAAGAATAAAAGTTTTCTGAAAAGAAGTTTTTGTATTGGAAATAGACCGTTTTTCATTTTATATTTTGGAAGCTGTTGTATAGCAAATGAATAAAATGAGATAAGGGGTTTCCGTCAATTAGACAAACCAACGATACAAAATGCAAAATACTTCTAGCGGTCAACAGAGTCTACAAAATAGGTCAAGTTTTATATTGTTAAAACTCTAAAAAGGCTGTGAGTAAAATCACATGCAGATCTGCGACTAACCCCAAATTTCCTAAATGACAAATTAAAAAAACAAACAATTGAGATTTTAACTACAGACAAGTACTGTCGAGATTCCTGACATAGGACAGGCCAATAAACATATGCTTGTAAAGATTATTAAGATTTAATTCTATCAATTTCTTACCTCAATCTTTGGAATCAGGAAATTTACAGAAAACAAAGTACAATATAATTTAGTATAGAAACAACACTTTACTCTATGATAAAATGTTGAAAGGATAAAAAAGACAAACGTACAAGTACATGTACAACCGCAGTAATGAATGTTCATAGTTACTGAAAGCAATCCAAAAGTACTCCTCAACCTGTAAATGTTAAAGTATAACGTCCTGTGTATACATTGTAATTTATTGAAAATATATGCAAATCGGTATCTATGTCGTCTTATATTTTGATCATTAAGAGAATGTGTAGTCCGTGGCAAATCTTTGATAGTTTCTCTAATTTATTCACATCTTTTCTAGACTTCTGGTGATGAAGAAAATTACATATCATATAGACACCTAGGTATTATTGAAGAGCGTGTATTAATTAACCTCTGTTTTTGCCGTTGTGTCGTTGCGAAGCTGTATTGAAAGAAGTAAAATTACGTCTCTCTTTATTCATAAGTATTTGCAGATATGTGGTGTTCCGTAAGATATTTTTTATTATATTTAACCATTAACTTTGATAAAAAAAGTTACGGATAAATCTGCGATAAGTGTGGCACAGTGAATACCTACCGGAATACTAATCATTTTTACCACACCATTTATATTTGGTTTGCTACTGTAATAGCATCCTCTCACAACAGATACAAGCAGATTTTTTATTTCAACCCTTCAATCGAGCTTCGGTTACTTTTTGTTTTGTTTTTAGTGTTTACGTGTTTCAATTTTTTTTTAAACATTTCTATTACCACTTAGAATTTTATCTATATTACAGTCTGTAACATGTATCTCTACTAGCCATCGATTGCTGAATTACAACTACAAGTATTCTAATCAAACATTGTCGTGTACAATAATACACGAAAAGGATAACAGGAATTACTAAATATATTGGACCAAGTCAACAGTTACTGTTTAGGATCAGTTATATTTGAGAAATACTTAAGTGGAATATCCACTTCAAATTAATACGAAGTGGAATGAAAGGTTTTTAAAATTTGTTTGATTTTGCTGTAAGACATTCGAAACATATCTGCGTTTAAACAGTTTTAATCCGGGTGCGGGAGTTTCTCGCTGCATTGAAGACCCATTGGTGGCCTTCGGCTGTTGTCTGCTCTATGGTCGGGTTGTTGTCTCTTTGACACATTCCTCATTTCCATTCTCAATTTTATGTCAATGTTTTAACGTTGCACAGAAACATGGACAGGGTAATATTAACTTGCATGTTTACAAATTTGTTCCAGTGCAAATATGTTATTGAATCAGGGTTGTTGTGACAAAATATGCTCCTTTGATATTTGCCTTGTTTTGCAATTGCTTTTGGTAAGAAACAAAGACAGAAACTATTCGCTTAGAACAAAATACAAATTTGATGTTTATGGCATGATGGTGACTATCAAAATATTGTTAGTATATACATTTATATCTTTTAGATCGAACAGAAACTGTCATGGAAAAGCTTTTAAATTTTGTTAAAGAAATCAAACAAATAAGTGCAGGTAACTATTATAGTTTTAGTCGAAATGTTTACTAAAATAGATGGACCATATATTTACCGTTTTATAATTAGTATTGCTGGAGGATTTCAAGTATACATTTTGTAACAGTGTTATGGCTTGTAGGTTTTAACAACCATAAACATTTTATATCATATTTCAAATGTACCGGTAAATATTCCCAAGATATAACAACCCCTCAATTCAAAAGTAATTCATTGATAAAAATAAGAAGATGTGGTATGATTGCCCATGAGACAACTCTCCGCAAGATACTAAATGACACATAACTTAACAACAATAGGTCACCGTACGGCCTTCAACAATGAGTAAAACCCACACCGATTGTCAGCTATACAAGGCCCCGAAATGACAAATGTAAAACAATTCAAACGAGAAAACTAACGGCCGGATTTATGTACAAAGTAATGAACTAAAAATAAATATGATATACAGCAACAAACGACAATCACTGAATTACAGGCTCCTGCCTTGGGACAGGAACTTTGTCTAATATCTTGATGTTGAGTAATTGTTATTTGTATTTAAAAGCACTGCTTCCAGCTTATTTACCGATAAAATAAAAGCTGGTTAAGTCAATGATACTGAAATTTTAAGCTTTTATACTCGCTGTGAGATTATTTCTCCGAGATCGAAATCACATGTCTCTATAAATACCAGTCAATGAATATTGGACAATAGAAATTCTTTATATATTGTAGTGTACAAGAGTACAAACTTCTTAAGAGGATATTTAGTAAGATATTTTTACTTTAAGTGATATTTTAAAGCTGTATATTTTTTTTGCTTTTTTTGAAGGCACGAACTGTAGAAACAACACTCAAAAATCGATAGCGTTTTATGCCACATTGTCAAAATCATTGACAGTTTCGGGTTCGGCAACCGTGGTATTTGATAAGGTTTTCACAAATACTGGAGATGCATATGATTCAAAAAAGGGTATTTTTCGAGCACCTGTCAAAGGACTCTACTACTTCGACTGTACTTTTTTGTCTGTTGGAACCAAATTACACATTATCCTAATGAAAGACAACAACAGACTGACCTATGAACACAGCCAAAATGACCGAGATGCAGGTTCGATATCTGGTACCCTATAACTTGAGATAGGAGATAAAGTGTTTGTACAGCATTACCCGACTGGATCAGAAGTTCTACTTGAGTCATACAGTAGCTTCACTGGATACCTGATTTCCACCTCTGAACGTTAGCAAAACCTTTCAAAACGCATTTAATATAAAATAAAGTATGCGACATAATGTAATTGTCAAATTAATTGTTTATTTGATTTAGAAAATTGTGTACGTTCCTTTGTTTTGTAGTTAAGAGCTAGAGTTAATATCAAACTATGAAATTTTACAAATCTATTTTCTAGTTTGATGGTCAGTTTCTAGTTTCCATAAATTATTTTGTGCAGGAATAAACATTCAGTTATTTATATTTTTAGACCAAAGAGGACAACAACTTTAATAATACAAAAAGAGTCATGCTTTATCTGACAGATACCTCACAAACTTACACACATTTAAAAAAAAAGTTTTTCATCACCTCAACATATGTTTACAAATGCTAAAACATTGTTAGTATGTGGATCAGTATTTAATTGGATATTTCAAATAAAATTGAGAATGGAAATGGGGAATGTGTCAAAGAGACAACAACCCGACCATAGAGCAGACAACAGCCGAAGGCCACCAATGGGTCTTCAATGCAGCGAGAAACTCCCGCACCCGGAGGCGTCCTTCAGCTGGCCCCTAAACAAATATGTATACTAGTTCAGTGATAATGGACGTCATACTAAACTCCAAATTATACACAAGAAACTAAAATTAAAAATGATACAAGACTAACAAAGGCCAGAGGCTCCTGACTTGGGACAGGCGCAAAAATGCGGCGGGTTAAACATGTTTTTGAGATCTCAACCCTCCCCCTATACCTCTAGCCAAAGTAGAAAAAACAAACGTACAACAGTACGCACAGTAAAACTCAGTTGAAGAGAAGTCCGAGTCCGATGTCAGAATAGGTAACAAAAGAAAATAAACAAAATGACAATAATACATAAATAACAACAGACTACTAGCAGTTACTGACATGCCAGCTCTAGACATCAATTAAACTGATTGAAAGATTATGTCTTCATCATATACATATCAGGCACAATCTCTCCTGTTATAATTAGGGGTTTAGTATTATACCATCATAAAATATATGAGAAGAACATAACCCGTGTCATGCCAATAAATGTTTGTATTGTACATTGCTATTTTGATATTAGATATATGATGAGTTTTATATCTTAACTCAACATACTTATTGGGTAGTTATTATGCATGCTTCAGTGGTTATAATTGTTGTAAGAGTTTTTCATGGTGTCACTGGGTGAGTTTTGATGTATTGGTTATTTCTTTACTCTCCAGGCTTTACTAGTTTTTGTTATGAACACACTTTCCTCTTTATTGTTATTAGTTGCTTTATAAAATTAACAAGATGTGATATGATTGCCAATGAGACAGCTATCCACTAGATACCAAATGACGTAGATGTTTATAGAGAATATCATATGACGTTTTCAATATCACACCGAGGAATTATATTGATGCACTTTTGATTCAATGATATATATTTTTAATTTATTAGAATAAATACCAATACCGTAATTTTATTTTTTTTTAATTTTAAATAAATTTTCAAATAATGCATGCAGCGAAATCAGAACACAAGATTCTTAACACTATTGAAGACTGCTTGCACCCAACGTAAGATTCACATGAACCCAATAACTTTCTTCATTACAACGCTGCTTTCCAGAATTCTGCCAGGTCATCTTTTTAAGGATTTACTATTTAAGGTGTTTTTTCATTAATAACTAGATAAGTGTATTTGACGTAAATTGCGTTTAGGACTCGTCACCAACTACAAAGGAGTACCAGACATTCATCAATTTATATACGCAGGGCAGCAGTTCTTCCCCTGGCACTACATACAGAAATAGAAGACGTCCGGTTTATTCCCGATTGTCAAACTTTTAAAATTTTAGAGTTCTGATTGCCCCACAAGAAAAGTTCGGATAGTCCCACATTATTTTTGATGAAATTGTTCTTAATTTTATTTAATAACATTAAAGATATATTCTATAACTCAGAAATAATAGATTATTTATTTAATCAAAAGTGCATTAGGGAGCTATCATTTGATTTTTCTGGGGAAAGGGGGGGGGGGGGGGGGGTTTGGCTAGGATGAAATTTGAAAATTAAGGCAAGACAGAAGTTTTGAGTAAAAAAAAAGGCAGGATGAGACACTTGCAAAAAACAAAAAGTCAGGACGACAATTTAGGTAAAAATAAGTCAGGATAAACTAAAAAAAAAAGGCAGGACTGAATAGAGCGAAAAATAAAAAGGCAGGACAGAGATTACAGCTAAAAAAAATGCAGGACAAAATTTGTCATCCTAGCCCCCCCCCCCCCCCCCCCCATAAAAATCAAATGGTAGCTCCCTAAATCTTATGATTTAAAAAAAAATATTTTATTTATTTTATTTAAGAACAATTTACATCAAAAATAATGTGGAACAATCAGAACAGTGTATGTTCACTTGTTAAAATGTCTTTTGAATGAGTTAAGCCATTTCAATTGATATTTTATAGTGTGTCTTTCTATGTTGTGATGTTACACTATTGTTTTAGGTAGGGTGAAGGTTGGTGCCTATTTAAACGTTTTAACCCGCTGCATTTGTTTGCACCTGTCCTAAGTCTGGAACCTGTTTCAGTGGTTGTCGTTTGTTGATATGGTTCATAAGTGTTTCTCGTTTCTCGTTTTTTACATAGATTAGACCGTTGGTTTTCCAGTCTGAATGGTTTTACACTAGTTATTTTGGAGCCCTTTATAGCTTGCTGTTCGGTGTGAGCCAAGGATACGTATTGAAAGCCGTACTTTGACCTATAATGGTCTACTTTAACAAATTGTGACTTGGATGGAGAGTTGTCTCATTGGCACTCACCACATCTTTTTATATCTATTTTCATGTGGGACAATCAGAACTCTAAAATATTTGTTTTAAAAAGTAGTACAATCGGGAATAAACCGTTGAGATGTTACATCGCAAAGGCCATATCATAAACACTAACTTCAAGTAAAACACATGTAGTTGTTCACGTGACATGGCGTAATATATGTACAAGTTACAAGTTACAAGTTTTTATTTCTCAAAGACCAAACAGGGGTAAGTGAATAATAAGAAACAAATTAATATTCATAATATAACATAGTAACAAAGTAATGCAGTGAATATTATAGTCATTCAATCACATATTATATACAAATATGTATATATACCTGTAAAAGAATTATTTTATATCTTGTTCAATACAAATTAGCCTTTTCCACTTAACGTCACAGTACCCAAATTGCATCGAGTACCCAAACTGCATCCATTTAGCAGATATAGCAACGGAAAAGTTTTCTTAGATACTAAACAATTTGGATTTTTATGATTAGACATTATGCACGTCTTTCAATAAAGCTAAATATATTTAAATATAAACAAAACGTGCACAGTCTATATCAACAGATGAAGTATTCACTTGTAAAAATAAAATATATGGAAACGTCGCCATGCGACTTACACAAAAAGTCATCTTTTAAAAATGAGCAATTAAAATATGTTGCAGACATCCATTTCTTAAAAAAATGAATAGTAAGCATGGGCTATTGTCAAATTGTTCCAAACGTTTTGAAGAAATAAAACAAAACATCAGATATTCGATTTTTACTGATGTGAAATTAAGTTTGGATGCAATTTGGGTACTTATCATTACAGAATCATGCGTCGTTTGGAGGTCGGTTCAAACCAAATTTTCTATGATTCAATATGTATTCAAAACTAGATTTGTGAAACTATATAGTAAATAAGGATATATCTACAAAATGGAAGCTTTTGTCTGGATCATTTATAAACGTAGGTGAAAAAAACTGTCAAAATAGGTGCAATTTAGGTACCCTCACCTTACCTATAATTTATAATTCTACTTTTTTATGAATATCTCAATAGGATTTCTACCTAATTCCCCATGTAAAATACAAATAGGGGATAGATTTTTTTACACCTAGTAAAATTTTGTAAAAACAATGATTCCATAGCATTCATATACTTAAAACCCAATACTTCACAGCCGTAAAGCAGACCACAGTATTAAACATTTTAAGTTGTATATCAATAGGTAATTAAAACCTAACCTTCATATTTTCTCAACATACTCTAGATTGCTGTACTAACCTGTTCTAACAATTATACTGAGGATTACTAACTTTGTATAAGCTTTACTGCAACTAATAAAATTGTTCTTATTTTGCAGATTTAACCCGCACATTTATGGTATTCTATCCGGTTATTTTAACACTCTTGATTAAAACGTGGTTTATTAAGTTACAATTATTTACATTTCCATTACAACTATTGTCCACTATATTTCTCTTTCAACATATCACTAGCAGAAGCGACTTGTATAATAGTATCATTACATTCCTAAATTAAACTGTAAGTTGAAACTATATTTACTCTAGCAATATTAATATCATCAAAAGTCACATTCAAATGTACAATATTTTCAACATTCAAAGAATCATGAAAAGACTGAAAGTTATTGTTATCCCAGAAAGCTTTAACAATTTTGCTTCATTCATTAGAGTTGATACATTCATTTACATCGATCACTTTAATATACACCTAAATATCAGCATGTTAAACAGTAAACATAACGTACCATTGGGTTAAATGATAATACTTCAATTTCAGATACACATGGGAAAAGTTCAGGTAATAATAATTTTTATACAGTAGTTAAAAATACTTGATTTTTTGTATGTTAAAGCACCAATACCTTGGTTTTTACCCAGTCTACAATAAGCAGTCGTAATTCAAGATTGTTACACAATTGCAATAATCTATTTTCAAAATTAATTACTGACAAATCTCTATCATGACGTAAATCATCAATACATAAAGTTTCTAAATCAACAGAGTTAATAACATCATCTATTTGTTCAGAATTAAGAATATAATCATCGGTATTAGTAAAGTCAGTTTTTGTTGCTGTATATGCATTGAAATCCCCGAGGAAACAATCATTATATCTAGTCTCTGATGTGTATTTAATCATATTCTGATATATCGAAAATGTCAATATTACTGAAGATACTACTCTCGGGTGGAATATATATAGCTCCAAATAAGGTAGCATAATCAAATATATTATTATTTAGTAT